CAACAGACAGATAAATTCTCTACTTGGGAACCATGCATATGAGTCCTGTGATGGGCAGTTGGCTAGCCAAGCCTTTACCCCACCCTGCCTAGATCAACAAAGCCATCACCATACTGTCATATACACATAAACATATTTGTGTGTTCAGTATGTAAGCCAGCATGCCTCTATACATGAAAATAGTTATTTCTCCATTTTAGATGTTTATTTCAGTTCAACAGTTTCTGGTCCTAATTTGGACCAGCACTGAGGTCTGGAACCACAAAAAAATGAGTGAGATACAATTCCTGACATCATGGAGCTTCACGGGGCTGCAGAAGGCAGATAAGAAAAGCAGTTTTTTCCATTTCTCTAGCTAATAGTGCTAGCTTCCCAAACCCTTGTTGACCAGTTTGGAACTAGTATACTTCACTGCCCTGTAACCCCCTCCTCTAGTACTGGAGTTCAAAATCAGGATTTCATTCATTCTAAGCCAATGCTCTATCACTGAGCTCCACCCCTAGTCCCAGGAGTACGCTTTTTAAGAAAAATTTCAGTCCACAAAGTGAAAAATGGGACTCAAATTTAAGGTCTCTCTTGGAAACACTTGTGTCCTCAGTCAAACAGAGACACAAAGGAAACTGAGTCATCAGCTTCTGGCTGTCCAAACCCTGAGAATTTCTCTCTGAGGAAGAGAAGATCCCCTTTGAAAAGTCCAAGGGACTGGCAGCATCGGCCACCTGCTTCACTCATTCTTTCTCAAGAATCACTTCCTTCTAGTGCTCTGGGTAGAGTCTCTAAAATGGAGGTACTGAGGAAGCATGACTGCAGTTGATCTCTTGTCCACAGCCCCATGTCAGGCTGTGAGGGAAGTCAACCCACCTCCCACCACCTCCATTCATCAGTAAAGTCTAGTCCTGAAGCCTCACACCAAAGGCTGATTTGGAATCTCATTTGCATGGCCATGTGTCACCTAGAGCTCTTCAGTGGGTTTTGGTTCAAGTGCCTTGACTTCTATAGAAAGCCATGGAAGTCCACTGATGAGGATTTTAAGACTTTCCCTCAAATGGGTCTCATATAACTATCCAAAGAGCATGTGACAAGAGGCTCTGTGGGTCACTGCACCTAAATGCCTGTAAGGGCAGCGTGAGAACGTTTGCAAGGCCTTTCTTAATTTGCAGGCAGAGGGCATTGCCCTGACTTGTCTCTTAGACAGGGAACAGCCTCTCCCTTTTTGCCAAGCCTACACATGAGAACACGTCTAGAAGGGCAGCTGGACTCTGATAAGGGAACTGACTTATTTTAGCAGCAAATAACTAGGTTGGTATTTCGGACAGCTGTGACTGAGCCAAGGGAAAGACAGCACAGGGGAGGGCAGGGCAGGGCAACCAAGATGCCACAGTCTGCAGAGGGTGGAGAGAGAAGTAATTCACAATGAGCTCTGCTGGCCACAGGGGACAGGATGGGTGGGAGACCACACACTAGTTCCAAGTCCTCCAAATGGGGAGTATTGAGTGGAAGGAACACAGGCTGGGTAATGTCAAACAATGGGTCACTCCATCTCTATCACTGTGTCCTTGAGCGAGTCCCATCAACTCTTGGAGCCTCCATTTTTTTTAAATCAAACAAAGGTGTTAGGAAAGTTCTAATATGAAACACCATTGCAAGACTACGTAAAAGAACCTATGCTAAGCCCCCACTGCATCCAAGCAGTGAGTGGTGCATCTTGGGTACTTGAGATGCTGCTCGGTCATAGCAGGTATAGCCTACTAGGATTTTACGATTGAGGTAATCCTAACTCTCCAGAGAGGGTATCCCCAAGGCGAGATGATCTTTTTCCAGCATCAGTTTTCTTTTACAGTAAGACATAGTGATAATTATTCTATTAAACTCAAAATGGGTATATTAGGTAGTAAAACACAAAGTTGTGATGTGTGTGAGATAGTACTGAAGTACATTATTTGGCACCTCCAATTACACACATCCTCCTTCTTACCACCAAGGAGGAGAGGGTAGGGCTCCAATATTACTCAAAGACTGGAGTGTTTCAGAGCTATCTATAGGAAAATCTCCCTACCCTCACCCTAACAGAGGTCACCAATCCCTGTCTTCCATGGTCTTCTTCCTCTTGGGAAAAAAGAAGGGTTTTTCCTAAATAATTTTAGAGGTCCCATGTCTGAGCCGATGACAGTGAATCAGGAAATATTTCTTGAATGAATGGAAGAAGATCTGTCATAGACTAGGAATTTCATGTGGTCCACTGTACCTCCCACGTGGAGGGGAAGTTGGAAGAAAATGGAAACTTTTCCCCCAGCTGCCAGAGTCTTCAATACGTCAACTTGTCACCATGCTTTTGAAGGAAGTAGATTCCCATGTGGACAGGGGAGTAACTGAATTTATCAAAGCTAACTTCAGCAGAAATGGAGCTTGTTTCATTATTTCTTCACATGGGAAAATACTGCCACCACTCTAACTACCAGCAGGAAATGGCATCCAAAGTGCTCAGAGGGAGCAGAAAGGTGCATGCTACCCCCAAGCCCCAGGGTTTTTCAGACACACCCTTTTTTCTCAACACTAGGGGTATAATTCCCTAACCTTGGTCACAGAGGAAAGATATGTGTGTGGAGATTCATCCTCTCTGTCTTCTTCCTAGGGCCACTTTCCTCCTACAGCACGTGATACCTCAAGTTGCTTAACCACCTTGGGCGACTTTTCTTCTTTTTGACTTCTGATACCAAACTAGACAGTCTGTCCTCCACCTCCATCCCCCAAACTTTACTCATCTCCAAAGTTTCCTCATGATCTTCAAGAGCGTGTCAATCCCAGAATGAGGTAGCCATGGTTCCTCTGTCATCTCCCTCCCTTTTATACTTCCCGTCTGCCCACCCATCCCTACATCCTCTACTAAGTCTTGTCTCATTCCAAGTCTTGGTTCCTTCCCAGGGCCCAGGCAGTCCTTGCTACTGACCCTTCACACTGCTTCTCCTGACGCTTCCTCACAATGGGAACCTAAGGCAGAAGGGAGCTTGCTGCTTTCTAGGACCTGACTCCCAAAGGTCAGAATGGCATTGAGTATTTTGGAGGCAGGCTTTTTAGAAGAACAAAGGAGATCGGCTAGGAAAATACAGGAGTGTAGTTCCTCAGGGACACAGCAGAAGGCATGAGGAACACACCAGCTTACTTCCTCTCTTCTAAGGCCAGGTCCCAGGCCCTCTATGCTCCATCCCTCTTCTCTCCCATCCTGAATGTTTCTGCCTTTCAAGAGCCCCTTGGAGCTCCAGTTCCCTTTGGAAGCCTCCACTGTGGCCACTGATGGTCAGAACTTCCCTTTCCTGGAAATCCTTTGTGACTTTGTCCATTTCATGCTTTCAGATACTCCATGAAAGTCTTGGCTCTGTAACTCAAAGAACCTGGGTTCATATACAGCACCAGCTCTGCCTGTATGAATACTGGCAAGTCACTTAACTATTGTGAGCCTGTTTCCCTCCTGTAAAATGAGCCTAATAGTAGAACACCTCTCACCATGCCATTAGAAGGATAAAATGAGGTAGCACAGGTAAAACTTCCAGCCCAGAACCCCTGATACAATAAAGGGTACAGTAGATGGACACTAGTGCTGTCATTCCTATTGTGATTATTTGTCTTCTGCACCGAGTCAAAATTCTAGATACTTACCTCACCGATATATCTAAAGTACCCTTGCAGAGTGGAATTCACTGTAGGCTAAGCTGACTTAATGACCTAGCTGGCACTTCTTAAAAGAAAATCTAATTTTGCCAGTGATAAGCAAATCAGGCATGGAATTATCTTGTTCATATATAGACAAAGGAAGGGAAGCTTGGAGTTGAGCCATGATAAATACCTCAGCCCAGCCCCTCCCCTCCACAGCCACGGAAAACCACCAACCCTATTTAAATGGGATATTAGGGTCTCAGCTCCAGAGTTACCATGTTACCGTAACCCTGGTACAGGTCTCCTCCTGCTCTGAGACTGTCCCCAGGCTGGAGGAATCTGAAGGCTAGAAGCTCTAGGCAGCTGGTCCAGGCAGGCTTCTCCTAGCTGCCCTCCTTGCCCCAAGCTAGAACCTCTGGGGTACCCAGAGCCTCATGCAGAACAGATTCAAGCTCCCACAAGGTAAAGTGGTCAGTAACTAGAGCGGAGTATTTAAAAAAGCTCGAGGGTCTGGAGAGATGGCTCAGCGGTTAAACAGAACACTGACTGTTCTTGCAGAAGACCCAGGTTTGAATCCTAGCACCCACATGGCAGCTAACAACTGTCTCTAACTCCAGTTCCAGGGACTCGGACAGCCTCTTCTGTCCTCTGCGGGCATTGCACAACAGGGGTGCACTTACCTACATGCAGGCAATACACACACATAAAATAAAAATAACAAAAAATATTTAAAATAATAATAAGAAGAAGGCTCGAAACCAGGCTAAGTGGGGGCTCTCCCTTGCCAGCTTTCCAGGGCTCCATTCTGAAAAAGTTCGTTTCTAACGTCTCTGGCTTGCAACTCTTTGGCCACCTTGCGGATTGCTTCACAGGTCCAGGCGTGAGCCCTTGCCCCAGTGCCTGTCCTGCCTTGCCTCCTGCCTGGCTCTTCCTTAGCAGCCACAGTCAATGGGGCTTGGAGAGCCTTGGGCAGTGAAGTCTGTTAGTCCGGACACTCAGCTGTGAGCATCCAGGAGTACAGTTACTTTGTGCCATGTGCTCCAGCTAGCTCCAGCGACCTCGCCCCAAAACTGTGCGCGGGCAACCTGCCCAGCAAACTTTCTTCTCCCTTTCTCTTTTCCTTTCAACAAAACGGCGCTCGCTCGCTTCCCAAGAACAAACTAACAATGTAGCGCAAAACTCCCAGCCCTGCTTTCCCAAGACCATTCCAAATGGCTCGCACCCACTTGACTGCAGTCCCTTCCCCCGGCCGCCGCTGCCTCAGCCCGGAGGGGCATCCTCCGCGGAGCCCCACTGCTCAGGCACTTCAGGTTCCCACTTCGGCTGCCCAGGCTTCGTGGGACACTCACCAATCTGCTGCTGCGCCAGGCTCAGCTGCAAGAGGCAGAGTCCCCAAGCTGCATGCCACCAAAATTTGCCCATGGTGCAGGATCAAACCAAAGGGTGGTGCTGGAGGGTCGCGGGGCGAAGAGGGTGGACCGAACCTGTCGCAGGCTGGGGACCGCTGGGCAATGAGGCCGTCTCGGAAGTTGGCTGAGGTTTTTATTCCAGGCTTTGTAACAGTGACCTAAGAGGGAGGGAGCACTTGAAGGACACACCCAAAGCAAGGGGGCTGTGACTAAGCAGCTAGTAGAGGTTTAAAGACATACCAGCCGGCTTTCCCTGCTGCCCCTGAGCCCCCGCCCGGCTCTCCCAGGCAGCTGAGAATTGCTATAGCAGGTTGGGCGCCCCATGTCCCTGGGTGCTTGCGTCCCCCAAAGCCACCTGCCTAGAGCACCCCCCCCCCCCCCCCCCCCCCCCCCCCCCCCCCCATCTTTTTTTCTCTCCCCGCCCCCCCCTCCCCCCGCCCCCCGCGCACCGCCCCCCCCCACACTGTCTCAACTTACCCCCCCCCCCCCCCCCCCCCCCCCCCACAGCTTGCAGATTTTCTTCTCTCGCCGCCAGCCCTTCCTCCTACCCGCCCGGGGAGAGCTGCCTCAGACAAGGATGACTGAGTCTTATGACCTCACCCCTCTGAGTTCAGTCTCCCTCCTCTCCTTTCCCGCTAAATTTCTCAGAATCTGGCTGGGGACTGAGTGTCTGAGTTTCCCAGGCAACTGGACATATCCTGGGGAGGAGCTGGGACAGTAGGGAGATCCTGCCTATGGTGCTTCCCAAGGTGGTACACTTCCCTGGTCAGGGTGAGGATTGAGAGGTGGGGAGCTTGTGGGAGTGCCCATTCTTTCCATCTGAGAGAAGTCCTGTGGTTCAGAGGATCCCTGTTTCTTATCAGGATTGCTCATGGAAAGCTAGACACTACCAGCCATGAGGCTCATAGCTGGCTCCACTGATTCATGCTGTCAGTCTCCCACCTCTAAACTTCCACTCATACACCAACACACACCAACACACTCATTCATGTTTCCAAGTGTCCTTCCGTCTACCAATCCTTCTTTACATCCTTCCTTGGCTCACACATCTATCCATTCTCCATCCATGTCCATCCATCTTCCCATTCAGCCACATCCTCATCCACCGATCTACCCACCTGCCAATTCTTGCAGTCACCCACCTATACAACTTCTCATCCACCATTCCATATATCCTCTTCACACCTCTCCATAAGCTCACATCCCTCCATCATACTCCCCACCCATCAGTCACTCTCAAGTGGAGGTGTGCACTCGTTCCCTTCCCCCAGCAACACTATCCATCCTCTCAGACATTCACACACTCATTTCTCACTTGCTTGCCTTTATATGCCCTCCTTTGCACACTTCAATACATTTCCCTTTATCTACCTTACACAATAACTCTCAAAGAAGGTTGTGTATTATATTTTTCAAGGGAAGATTTTCAAGTTTGAAAATATGAAAAATTGTATTTTAAATCACAATTTCATACCTTCTTATACTATGGGTTACTACTCGTTGATTTTAGTGTGATCCAAAAGTAAATCTGAGTGAATTTCTTGCCAAATGAGATACACAGAAAATATGTCTGTGGCAGTGCCCCGAAGAAACCATGCCAGAATTTCTGCGGGAAGGCGAGATTTACAGTTTCTCTCAATAAGTTCCAAAAACTGAGAGAAATGCATCCAGCCACCTGCCCATCCATTTATTCAAAAAACATGTAATGAGTGCCCAGTGGTATCAAGATAAACAAGACCTGCCCTTATCTTGAAGCATTCACACTCAGGTAGGCAATCAGACTCACAAGCTAGCTATTACCTACAAAATGAAATACACTGCAAAATACAAACAGACCTCTGTATCTATACATTAAAAACATTCAGAAGAATTGCATCTTACTGAACATCTGCAAGTTTTTTTCCCTTTCATTATTCTGGAAACAACTTTGTATTGTATACATATATTCTACATAGCATATATACATATGCATATATAATACATAGCACTTCCATTGTGTTGGGTACTATACGTTATCTAGAGATGATTGGAAGAATATGGAATGATAGGTGTAGCTTGTATGCGAAGACTGTGACATTTATATAAAAGAGCTCATCATCTGAGGGTTTAGTATACTTAGTGGTGGTTGGAAGTAATCTTCTGCTGATGATAAAGAATAACAATTTGTGCTTTTAGGATGTCACCAGCTCTACAGTCTGGAGAAAGGAGTCACATTCTTTCCTAAGAAATACCAGGGAGACTTTCCAGGACAGGTGATGCTTGAGGAAGGTGTGGTAAGAGGAGGAATTCTTCAGAAACTGCAGGGACAGGTCATCCACAGGGAATTCCTGTGGTGAAGAGCAGCACTGAGGATTCAGGAAGAGAACACCTACATCTTAATGCTCCTCTGCCTTCTTACTACTTATCTGCCATCAGAAGGGCAATGAGTCTTTATGTGCTTCCATTTCCCCAAGTATAAAATGGTATCCACTTCACAGAATTGGTGAGGATGAAATGATCTTGAAAGTCCTATGTACGTCTGTAACAGTCACTATATATGTGGGGTGGCTTTAACATCAAATTAGACAAAGAAATTGAGTGGGAGACAGCAAGATGTAAGACCAGAGAAATCTGCAGAGGTCAGGCAGTCAACTGCCAGGGACTTTGAACTTGATCCTGTAGAAAATCAAGAGATAATGTAAGTTTTTTGAAATTTTTTTATGTTAAAGTACACCTAGCATGGAATTTACCACTTTGTCCCTTTGAATGTGCATTAATATAGTGCCACATTCAATAAATTCACAATTGTGCCCTCTTCATCACTGTTATGTAGGTTTTGCACTTAAGGAGAGCCTCTCTTACCTTCTTACATTTTTAGAGAGTGATGAGGCTAAAAAGTCACTGTTTGGACCCACTGTGTAACCAGTCTCTGATTGACAGGCTACGACTCAAGGGCCTGCCTGGCTCAAAAGAAGATGGTACTTTTGGTCCTCAGATGAATAGTAAGTACTTTAGAACACTGCCAGTGATTGGAGAGAGCTGGCTCCCCTGCTGTCTGTGACTCAGAGGCCACTTTTTTCAAACATCTATGGGCTCATCTCTAACCATCTTAGAAAGCAGCCCTAGTGGGGTTCATGAATAAACACTTGATGAGGAAGGGCCTTGAACATCTGTGTTCCCTCCAGAATTTCATCTAGTTTTCTTTGGAGGAAGAGAGGGAAGTAGGTAGTCACTAGGAATGATGTTTATTTTGTGCAACTTGGAGGTTCTTTTGGGAGCTCCCAGAAATAGATATAGAGGTGAGAGCGAAAGCTTCACAGTGAGCTGTCCCCTCCCCATCCCCATCCTACCACAAAAGTTCCCCGTGTATCAGTTTGAGATATTAGAATACTTCTAGAGATTTCATTTTGACAAAGAATTTTACTCTTACAAATACAGAAAAAGAACACTACATAATCTCAAAACCTGATCCACGTTGCTATTAGTCCAGTAAAAAATACTGCCAAAAGTTGTGTGGTAAAAGCATGCGAGGGAGCAACTAAAAATGTTTTGTAAGCTGTAGAGAGACATGCAAATTCTGGAAATTATTATTAGGATTCTTCTCAGGGGAAGAGTTTGCCTGCCTCTTCCCGATAGTTTAGCAGAGGGCTGAGGCAACTTGCCCCCATGCCACAAATGATTCATTTTCAATAATAGACCCAGTGACTTACTAAGTCAGGCCTGTCTTGGGAATTCTTGGATTATCTCAGAGTCCCTTTCCAAACAAACACTCCACACATAACATAGGCCACAAAGCCTTGCCCATTCTTTCCTTCGCACCTCTGTAAAGGCTAAAATCCTTAAAATGATTAACTTTGAGTATTCAGTATCTGTTGTGCATTCCATCAGTCACCTTTGTGAGCTGAACGATGGACGTAGGACCCTGAAAGGAGAGTTTGAATTGGTGGGGTTTTACGTGAGAGCATAGGATTTGAAAGAAGCCAGGATGAAGTCAGCAGCCTTGGACTACAAAAGCAGGAGTCTGAGCATGGCTTTCATCTTATCTGGAGCTCAGTGGCTTAACCTCTGGGAGTTTCGGGTATAAAATCAGAGTAATAAAACCATTCTCATAGTTTAGGAGTAGTAAGAAAAGACAACACCAGTATCCTCCACTGGAGTGCCTGATTGGTGGAGAGCTCAATGACCCCCACCCTCTAAGCTGCCTGAGTACAGGGACATGGCTGACTGTGTTGGGCACCAGCCTGTCAGTCACAAAGGTATGTCACAAAGGTATGTCAGTCACAAAGGCTGATCAGCATATCTATCATGCTCCATAAATAAGCATTGTATCAACACAAGTGATTGTTGTTCTTTTTCTTCCCATCAGAGCTTATGGGGTGCTTCAGGAATCACATGTATTAATAAGTAGAAGCACTTAAGGCAACTTGACAATTACTGAATCCATGCAAACTGCAGTGCTCTCTATAGGATGACTGGTTTAGCAGCCTGCAGTGCAACCAAACCATCGTTCATTTGGGCAGATAAAGGGTTCCTGTTGAAATAGTGGGGCCTGATGGTTTCTGATGACTAATAAATATTTTTCTTCTTAAGCAAGAAAAATTCAAATCTAAAACACATATGTATGAAGAACAAGGTTTGGGGGACATGGGGCTGAATTGTGGAATTCTATGATAACTGCAGCAAGTCATGGACTCTTAAAGGAACAATATTCAATGTTTTCACAAAGCTGCTTCCCAGAAAAGGACTGATCTGTCATGATAAAGAAAGAAGTACCATTCCAGTTAAACTTGAACTCTCAATGGAATCTATTCTTAGCTCACAGACACAGGGTAAATTCTATGCATGCAAATGAGCAATAGTAAGAAACTCTCAAAAAATAATTATTAGTGAAGTCTAACAAACCATAACCAAGAACTGATCTTCACAGTAAACAAATCATCTTGAATGACTAGTCTCTAACTAACCATTGTGACCACAGAGTTGAGCCTTTCGGATTAGTAAAGCTTTTAAATGATGACAAACAAAGTAGCGGTTGTGCCAAGGAGGCCGAGGGCCATCTATTCTAGATAGATCCATGTCAGTCATAAAGTAGGATTCATGTAGAACTTTAGGGTTAATATAGTGCACAAACAGTACCCAATCCCAGGGTTGGACAGTAACAAACT